GCAAGGTATTTTCCTATGACAGCATGCTACATATTCATTCCGTCATCCAGTGTTTGTTGCTGGAGCCTTGATGCAGCTTCAAACACTGGGGTAAATTTGGTCATGAAAAATGGTGTGGAGAATGAGTCACAGCTCAAATGACCATTTGTAATTTAATGACATGATCCCCTTTGTCTGCATTGAATGCATTTCCATTTGCCTTACTTCTTGGCACATGCAGACTAAGCATGTTTTGCCAGTGGTCAAAATCAGATTTAACCTAAGAAAAAGATCTTTAGGTAAAGTTGAGCAATGTCCAATATTTGCATACTTTTAAAATTTCTCCCTCTTCCTCTTTTTTGTTGGAGACACAATCTTGGTGTATAATCTGGATTGGTCTTGAACTCACTGGGTAGCCTAGACTGTCTATGTAACCTAAACTGTCTTTGAACTTCTCATCCTATTGCCTCTAACCTCCGAAGTGGTAAGATAGCCAAGGACTCTATCAACTGTGCTATATCCTTAGTTCTTCAACCTACTCCCCTTTAAACTTCTGAATAACTCAGATGAAAAGCCTAGCGCCATGGGTTGCCTCTTTTCAAGTTATTAGACATTGAAGTCTCATAGACCCCAACCATCATAGGTTATTGCCATTGCTGTTGTTTACCTTCCAGAACTTCATGGTAGGATCCTATTGCTGAAGAGACCATGTACTTGAATCATAAAACATGAAAACAAGCTGGTAATGACCTAAATGCTTCATTCCCACTGGCTAGCTTTCATAGTGCTAGAAGGTGTTATTGACAATACTAGGGGAGTAAGCTATAAACAATCTCACCCAGCTGTGAACTCTGGGAATTATCATAATGAATGGCCTGGAAAAATCTACTGATGCAATAGTGACAGGAATATTATGGAGTAACCAGCTACTTTCTGATTGGATTTTAAGACCTGCTTGACAAAACCAAACTTATGTCTGATACTGTTAACAGTGCCAAGAACTCATAACTGGGCAGGTTCATAGACCCTAGGAGAGAACCAACTCATTCTGCTAAGTGGACATAGCATTAAACCCTCCCTTAAATACTTGTCTTTATACCCATAAGTTGGTACATCTTAACCCTCATCAGAGAACCTTCTTTTACAATAGAAGGCAACTAAAATAGATATCCATTAACTCCTGCAGATAATATGAAATTTCTAAGTTTTCAACCCTAAATGGGATATAATATCACACCTTCTCCCAAAGTTGAGAGATCTTTGAGTGGCTGGAAGCTTGTAAGAGGCAGAGGCAGTTAATGACTAGAATGAAACTGTTTTCGAGACGGGACAGGACATATGAGCACATATGAGCTCACAGTGTCTTTGACTGCATGCACAAGATTAAGCTAGACACATCCCAGCACAGATAGAGGAGAGCTTCACTAAGTCCCACTCCCTACTGAGGCTGCTGGGAGGGAGTCAGTTTTCTTTCAAGATGTGGCCCCTGGGAGGCTACCCACACTCCAATAGACAGATCTACACCCATGTACATTCTAATAACATTAAGTGGACTCAAAGGTTTTAAAAGACAAAGTAAAACAAAAAGTACCATGAAATCTGGAAGGAATAGTGGAGGAATATGGGTGGATTTGATGAAAACATAAGCATGTATGGAATTCTCCTAATAGAAAATCATTTTAGAATGGATATCATTGGCGTTGTAATTACATCTCTGTCCCAGTTGTTTTTTTCATGTACTTTTCATTCTTTTTATTTAATTATAAGACTATACCTACGCCATGAGAGCATATATGTACTTAGCATTTCAAGTTGGAGACCAGACTGTGCTATACAGTGAGTTCCACACCAACAAAAACAACAGACCAATACCCCCACCTCAAAACAACAAAACCCCTCAAAACAACAAAAGCAAACCAAAATCCCCAAGTATGCACAGATTCAAAAAGCAAAAGAAGGTATTAAATTTTACAAGTTAGTATTTCCGCATAACCAATATTTTAAGCAAGCCAGAGTCATCCAAGTTACTTGCAACATGCGTCAGATAGGTACACAAAGTATCAAAAGAATATTCTACATCTCCATGTTTTTTTTCTCTCTTTTTTTTATTAATATTTTTTTATTTTCCATTTTAAATTTAGATAAGAAACAAGATTGCTTCACAAGTCAGTACGAGGTCCCTCTCCCTTTCCCTCCTCTCCTCCCGTGCCCTCCCCCCATCCCCCCCCGTTATCCCCTCATTCCCCCAGGGAGGGTGAGGCCCTCCATGGGGGTGTCCATAGTCTGTCATTTCATATAGGGCAGGGCCTAGACCCTTCCCCAAGAGTTCAGGGTGAGAGTGCACCTCACATTATTCTATGGGAGTCCAGAGACCGTGTGTATACTTGGGATGGGTACTGATCTGCTGTCCAAGGCTCAATAGATTACCTAGGCCTCCTCACTGACACCCAGATTCAGGGGGTCTTGATCAGTCCCATGCTGGATTCCCAGGCTGATGCCTGGGATTCAAGAGTTAACCTTTGTCTGGTCAGCTGTTTCTGGGGGTTCAACCAGCCCAGTCTTAATCCCTTTGATCATCAGTCCTCCCTCTCTGATACTGGCTTTCTTGAGTTCAGCTCAGTACTTAACCAGCCAGTAAATGAAGTTTCTGTTTCCCAGACTCTCTGGCAATAGGATTGTAGGCTGGCACTCCCCAGATCTATGTCTAAAATCCATATATGAGAGAGTACATGCCATGTTTCTCTTTTTGTGACTGGGTTACCTCACTCAGGATGGTTTCTTCTAGTGTCATCCATTTGCCTGCGAATCTCATGATTCCATTATGTTTTTCTGCTGAATAGTACTCCATTGTGTAGATGTACCACATTTTCTCTATCCACTCTTCGGGTGAGGGACATCTAGGTTGCTTCCAAGTTCTGGCTATTACAAATAAAGCTGCTATGAACATAGTGGAACAGACATCTTTGTTGTATGAATGGGCATCTTTTGGATATATGCCTAAGAGTGGAGTTGCTGGGTCTTGTGGTAGGTTTATTCCCATTTTTCTGAGGAATCTCCATACTGATTTCCAAAGTGGCTGAACCAGTTGGCACTCCCACCAGCAATGGAGGAGTGTCCCCCTTTCACCACATCCTCTCCAGCATAAATTGTCATTGGTGTTTTTGATTTTAGCCATTCTGACAGGAGTGAGATGGTATCACAGAGTTGTTTTGATTTGCATTTCCCGGATGGCTAAGGATGTTGAGCACTTTCTCAAGTGCCTCTCAGCCATTTTAGACTCCTCTATTGAAAACTCTCTATTTAGTTCTGCAGCCCACTTTTTAATAGGGTCCTTTGGTGTTTTGGAGACTTGCTTCTTGAGTTCTTTGTAAATTTTGGAGATCAACCCTCTGTCAGATGTGGGATTAGTGAATATTTTTTCCCATTCTGTGGGCTGCCTTTTTGTCTTGCTGACTGTGTCCTTTGCCTTACAGAAGCTTCTCAGTTTCAGGAGGTCCCATTTATTAATTGTTGATCTCACTGTCTGTGCTACTGGTGTTATGTTCAGGAAGCTGTCTCCTGTACCAATTCGTTCAAGGGTACCACCCACTTTCTCTTCTAAGAGGTTCAGTGTGGCTGGATTTATGTTGCAGCTCTCCCTTTTAAGGGATATCATTCACATGATCCTCTTTAAAAGCTCACAAAAGGAAGAGTGTCAACCATAATGCAATGTTGATTTTAGGTCTGTTGAGGGTGTAGACTCTTTGTTAGCACTCATGTGTGGGAGAATGCCCTGGCTCCTTAGTTTCTGATAAAGTAGAAACAGCCTACCTGCAGCTTCAAGCATGTCTAACCACAAGGGTGCGTTCTGTCAGGAGACGTAGTGCCTAAGACACATAACTGCAGTCATCCTCATTTGCCTCATATCTAACTCCTCGCATAACTGGCATCTAAAAGACTAGTTCTACCCATCTGTAGCTTGATGAATCAATGAATTTACTGGATTTCCTGAAAGAAGTGAGAGTGACCCAAAAACAATCCCATCACTGGAAAAGTCTCACCCTAGCTTAGATGACAACTTCCCTGAAGCTACATAGGTGAAGCCCTCTCCCACTTCAGTTAAACATTCATAATCTATATACCATTTCCCAACTCCCAAAGACACATGCATTGGGGGCAATATTACATGCTAATAGAAAATGTACAGGAGGAACTGACTGGATTCTCAGGAGAGGGTCTTACGACATTTCCTATTCTCTCCTTCTCTGGGGGAGAGTTAACAAGCTGGCATTATGGGTGGTCTCTTCTGCTTTTGGGTAATGACAGGCCTGGGAGATAGCTAGATAGGTAGAGGCACTTTTACACAGGTCTAAAGATCTGAGTTTAATCCCAAGATCTCACAGAACAGAACCATGTCTTCAGAGTTTTCCTCTAAGCGCTATATGTGTCGTGGCATATATGTACTTGCATGCATACACATGCACACACACTAAACAAATAATTTTTAATAAAAATATGTGATAGCAGTTTTGCTCAAAGACGGATCAACAACAGCACTAGACACAAGAATCAAAATGTCTCTGTATGTAAGTCTGTAATTTGTATACTTAAAAAGACAGAGGTCAAGGTATCATATAGAGTCTATGAATCCTTGCAGACATAGAGATTGAAGTTGTTATCTACTATGATTCAAACTGAGGTAGCTGTAGTGTAACAGAACATTCATCAAGTGAAAATTTGTTTTATTTAAATTTTGTTCTTATGTATGGTTGTAGAAATGGAACTCAGGTCCTCAGACTTGGCAGCAAGTACCTTTCTCAGTTGAGCTTCCTCTTTGCTCATACAAACAAGGAAGCTCATACTAACCAGGAGGCCTTCCTCTCATTGATTTGATAAATCCCCCATTATTTGATGGTACAAAGACTAACACACCTAATCTGACTGAATTCTTCCCAGGCTGTGTGTGATGTGGCTACGCTAACTTAGGGCACTAGCTTGGGATCATTCTAACAAGTGTCCCCCTGCCTCCTTGTGTCCTACAGCAAGAGCTCATCGACAGTATCAGCCACAAGCTGCAGGTACTCCGGGAAGCCCGTGAGAGCCTGCTGGAGGACATCCAAGCTAATAATGCTCTGGGGGATGAGGTGGAAGCCATTGTGAAAGATGTCTGCAAACCCAATGAGTTTGACAAGTTCCGGATGTTCATTGGAGACCTGGACAAAGTGGTGAACCTCCTGCTGTCTCTGTCAGGCCGCCTGGCCCGTGTGGAAAATGCCCTCAATAATTTGGATGACAGTCTTTCTCCTGGAGATCGAGTAATTGCAAACACATCTGACTGGGAAATGGGAAGTGGTGAGGATCTGTAGAAAGGCTGTCCTGGGGTGCTCAGAAAGTCAGCTCTCAGAAGGCTCAGAAGCCTCATACTGCCTGTGCATGGCCTGTATAGTGTCTAGAGCATGGAGCTCTGGTTCATCCGAGGTCCACTCTCTTGGTTTCCTTTCAGTTGACAGGCAGAGCAAGTTAATGAGATGTAGGGGTAGGGGCCATCACAGGCATGGACCACCATGTGTATCCTCAGTTTTCTTGTACTCAAAAGAGGAGAAATATCTTACTTGCTGGGTTTGTTTCATAGGTTACGTTTCAGTCAACATCTTTCTGTGTTCCTTGCATATTATGGGACTTCAAAATGAATCTCTTTATTAATCAAACATCTACTGGACTCCCCCACCACTATCTCAGTACCTTTCAGGCATCCATCATCCATCGGATTTTCACAATCTGACCTACTTTTGTACAACAAGTTAGTGTCTGCTTATTTTCTGATTGAAGTACAATGGCCTTACATGGCCTCTATCCAGAAAATATCTTATCTCTTTGTTTGTCTCGGGTATGACAAGGCAAGATGCTCTCTAAACCTTATATGGTCATGGGAATACCAAAGACAGTTTCTTGTTCAGGCCACATTTAGTAACAGGTAACATCCCCTCTTTCCTGACTTCTTTGTGTTAGTCTCCATGTGAAGACAATGAATGCATCTATCTCTTCCTTTTTTATCTTCTTTCATCTTGGACTTGGTAGGGTTTCCATTGGATGTGTATATTTTATAAATTGAAAGTAGTGATTGTAATCTTTATGTGTTAGAGACAGGATTTTCGAAGCAGGACACTGATTCCCCACCCCAAATAGGATGCTGGTAGGAGTTAAGGGCTATTCCTTACTGTTCCATACACGCCTCCCAGCATCTCGACCCTCTGTGGCTCAGGCTTATAATGTCATCTACTCAGGAGGCTGGGTAAGAAAACACATAAGTGAAAGGTACGTCCTAGCTATGAAGTAAGATGCAATCTAGCCCAGACAAACTTACTGACACATGGCTTCAAAATAAAAGGCAAAAGTAGCATTGCACTATAGTTCTGTGGTAGAGTGTTTTCCTAGTATGAATGAGCTTATGGGTTCAGTCTCTAGTATAAGAGGGACAGGAGGAGAGGGAGAAGGATGGATGAACACACACACACACACACACACACACACACACACAGACTGAGACTCTTTCATTCTAGGGCAGGATTAAACTCTTCAACAGGAGGTGGTATGAAGACAAACAAGAAAGACCAGGAAAGCAAGACACAGAGAGTAGAGTTGCTGGGAGACGTGTATGGAACAGTATGGAATAGCCCTTAACTCCTAACGGTGTCCTGTTTGGTGGCTCAGGCTCAACCTGATTATAGTATTTCCCTTTTACAATTTTGGGACCAACAGAATCATCAAGTCCTTTGTCCCTTTGAAACATATCAGAACTCTGTAGCTTCTGGTCCCTGATTTAAGGCAAATGGCAGAGAAGAAGGCACAGACAGAGAGGAAACCCAGTGGGGCCTATGAGTGACTTCTGGAAGGGTGAGGAAAGGAGGAACTGTAGAGAAGCTAACCATAGTTAGAAATACATGTAGACTCCATCGTGATCATTCCAATGGGGATCGAATGTGGCTTCAAGGTTTCCACGGACAGTTACGAGACCAGTATCCCAAAGCTGCAGGGCTTTAAAGGGGTTGGCCAGAGTCTTTGTTTTGGCCTTGCCTCAACAGAACTTTCTGTTTCCCTCCCTCTCAACAGCAGTCACTGTTGGAGAAACAGAGAATTCTAACCCAGCAGCATGAGGACGCCAAAGAGCTTAAAGAGAACCTAGACCGTCGTGAGCGCATTGTGTTTGACATCCTGGCCACCTACCTCAGCGAGGAGAACCTGGCTGACTATGAGCACTTCGTGAAGATGAAGTCAGCCCTCATCATTGTGCAGAGAGAGCTGGAAGATAAAATCCACCTGGGTGAAGAGCAGCTCAAGTGCTTGTTCGACAGCCTGCAGCCTGAGAGAAGCAATAATGCCCTGTTAGTATGTGATGATTTTATTATGTTTTTCATTTCTGTTGGTTTGCTGAGCAGTTTCGTATTACATGTAACTTCACAGAATGCCAGGCTTTGCTGGTCAGCAGGGTCCCCTAGGATGCCCAGTGGCTGAGCCCACAATATATGCAAACACTCCTTTGCAGCAGCAGTGGCACCATTGTTCCTCCCTTGTGTAGATGCCAAATACGTCCCTATGGTGCATGAGAGGAAAGACCCTGGTGATTGAGCCAGGCATGGGCTGCTGTGTGTTCGGTCCTTGTTCATTCAACAATGCAAGCATTCACTGGGCTATCATCATGATGTTCTCTGACCCAGTAAAAATCAGTGATGATGATAATTTATTGATGTGTGAGAAACATGAAGTTTCCTAGTGGTTAAAAACCAACTATGAAATGAACAACCTACATATTGGATACACTCATGCCTAGAGTAAAATCATCACATACCTTGTGCGCATGCTTTGAAATACCCCAAACAAACAGATAGCTAGTGTCCTTCTTGCTGCATCTTAAATAATTTGTAGCCAAGTGACATTATTTGGTTAGAAGAGTGTCTACTAATAATGGTATTGCTTGCTTTTTATTTCCTGAGACCAATGAAATATTTTGAAGTTTCCTTCCCCCAAAACACTAATTTGTTTGTGTATGTGATCCTTAATGATAATCGGTGGCTTGTCTCTTGTTACTTTTCTGTCTGTTACCATGGGCCACATGTCATGTACCTTAAGACTTAAGATTCCATCTTCTGGTTTGTCAGAGGTCCTGTGGAGTGACTAGTGCTTACATTTGAAACAGAGTTTCAAGGTTCCTTGTCCCTAGCAGTAAAAATGGAAAGGTGACAAATAGAGTGTTATTCATTAAAGCAACACTGTCATTCTATTGGTTTCTGGTTAAAAGGACAGAGATTGGGAAACAATATTTGTAAATCATGTGTCTGATTTGTACTCATTTTGTTTTTATTATTATTTGTTTGTTTTAGAAGAGTCTCATGTAACCCAGATTGGCTTCAGTCTCCCTATGTAGTCCAGATGATCTTGAACTCCTGATCCTCCTGTCTCCACTTCCTGAGTTCTAGGTTTACCATCACACCCCACTTCCATTGCTTCTATATCTGATAAAAGATTTGTATAAAGAATTCCCAACACCTAACAATAGAAAACAAACTGTTTGAAAAAAGTAGGCAAAAGACTTGACTAGACACTTCACCAAAGAAGATGTGTGTATGGCAGGTAAACACATGAAAAAGGTTCAGCCACCAGTGGTGCGTGTAACTTACTTAATGTTAAATGTGTGTACATTTGGTGTAGTTCAAAAGATGCTTATATATCTAAATGCATGGTGAAAGATGAGCAAGTTCCTCTAGTGACTTGATGTTCAGGCATCATTAGTCTTTGTACTACCAAGGGATTGTTTTTTCTCTTGTTTTCCCCTGAGATTGAAGCAGATGCAAAGATTTCCCTCTCTCAGCAGTAACCACACCCTTTCCAGAAGACACATGTACACTTAGATCCATGTGTACATGCATGTGTTCACACTCTCACATGTAGTTGTCTTAAAGGACCAGAATCTGTGCTTCCTGAACCAGAGGAATAGAAGGTAACACCCTAAGCTCTGGTGAAGATGATAGTGCCCTTGTACAGCTGAGTCAAAATGGGCAAGCTTCTGTACTGCAGACCACAGATGGCCTTGTTGACAGCCTACCACTGTCAGTTGGAAGAAAACCTTTGCAAAAGTGTTGACTCCTATTAAACAAAGCTACTTCTACTTTTCAAAGTCCCTGATCTTCCAGTGACGTCTCTTCCTTCTTCCACTTGGTCATCCCTTGCTGTGAACGTGGGTCATGTCAGAAAATGTGATGCTGGCTGTCCACAAACTTTTTAAGGGATTGCAGACTGTTTTATTTTTATTTGTCACCAAACTATATACCTGTGGTTCTTTATCCCCAAATACAGTGTTGTGAGTGTTTTTAATGATGTGTGTAAAATGTGAATAATGGAATTTTGTTTGTCTGTAACCTGCCTTTTCATGTTGTTCTAGGATTGTCTGTTATGGAGAACAATATGTAGTGTTCTAGCATGCTCGTACTGAATCACGTAACAATTGTGACCTTCCTGTCTATTCCCTGCTTGCCTGTTCCAAGTCTGATTAGCAGGGACCCTAGAATTCCAGAGAGTCCATGTATATATGTCTGTGAATAGTGATACTGTTGCATAAGAAACAATATGGTGCTAATGGTTGGTCCTTGGCATGCATAGGCATGGGCATAGCTATGGAACTCTCTGTATACACACTGACCTTGCTTGTGGTCAGTTCTTGTGGCTTTACCCTGAACTCTGCCCTGGCAAAAATGCACAATTGTGCTTGATACTTACCACTTACCAACAGATCCTCTCGCTTGACTTTAACAAAATAAATAGTGTCTCTTAAAATGAAAGAAAAATGTCTTTACTTCCTACATTACAGCTTTGCACAAAATAAAAATACCAGTGTTGGGCATGTAGCCCCAAGGAAAAGCGTATGAGCATGGTGCCCTGAGTTCAAATACCAGCAGTATCCTCCACAAAAAAAATCCTAGGCTAGGCACAGTAGCAAACTTTTGCAATCCCAGTCCTTGATGGTGAATGGCTGGACCCACAGCGTAGTTGTTCCTTCTGTATACAGGTGCCAAACGCATCCCTAAGGGGCACGGTAGGCAACATTCTTGTGATTTCAAGCTGCTGTGTGTTTTGTCCTTGCTAGGTCAACAGGGTGACCATTCATCACATCTATCATAATTCTCTGACTCAGGCAAAAATCAGTAGCAATAATTAATGTGTGGGAACGTGTATGGTTTCTTGGTGGTTAAAAAAGGAATGAACGACATATGTTGAATGTACTGAATCAAAGATTAAAATCCTAAGTGCATTAGCATACCCACAATAACGCTTTGTATCAGTTCATGGCATTGTCCTTTTTACTACCACTTTCTAAGCAGCCTTTCTGATCCATCCCCTTTTGGCCATGGCCTATCCATTCTACCAATCTCTTACAGTCTGACTTACCTCTCACGCCTTTGTCTCTCATCTGGCTGGGCACATGAAGCTAGAAACATGGGTTCTCTGGGAGGTTGTAGCAGAAGCAGGTCTGGGTTACATAGTTTTTCTGTTGAAGCTGATGTCTGCTGAGGTAAAGTGCCTTGTCTGATGGAAGCTCTGTCTGAGTCTACATGGCTCGTCTTGGGACCTCAGAAGCAGCCCATCACTTCAAGGGTTAATGTTCATTCTTTTCAAAGCATTGTTCTTACAAATGCATCATGACAGCTGTTTGCCAATAGGCAGAGGCGGGATGGACACCAGTTCAAGGCTAGTCTTGATTGCACAATGAGTATGAGGACAGAGTGGCCTACATGAGACCTTGTCCCAGATGAAATAGCAGCAAAGACGGTACACGTTGTCAAGCCTGGTTATCTAGCTTGCCTGATACCCTGGGCAACAAAGGGCATTGACTTTCAGTTGTATGCCTGCTGAGGAGCTCTTCAGAAGGCACAGAAATTCAGGGGAAGAATTTTTGCCTGCACAATGTGGGCTTTTAAATTTTTGTTACCTTTGTGTGTGTAGATACACATATGTCACAGCACATGTGTCAGAGAACAACTTGTGGGAATTGGTTCTCCTGCCACCATGTGAATCCTGGGTATAAATTTAGGTTGCCAGGCTTCATGACAGGTGCTTTTGCCCACAAGGACATCTCACGAACCCTGTATGTGCTTTTTATTTTGAAAATTATCTTTTATTTTTGAGATCATAATATAATTATTTATGTAATCCCTCCTCTCCTCCTTCTAAACCCTCCCATTCCAGTTCTCTTTCAAATTCATGGTCTCTTTTTTCCTTAGTTGTTGTTATATGCATATATGTAAGTGTATGTACATATATTTATGTTTATAAATACCCCCTTTTCAGTCTGAATAATGTTTCTTGTATGTATGTTTTCAGGGCTGACCATTGGTATTGGATAGCAAGTTGATGTGCCCTTCTCTAGGGAAGACGATTTCTCCCTCTCTCAGCATTCCTTGGTTGCCTGTAGTTCTTTGTGTCAGTCAGGTTGAGAATTCAAGAGTCTCCACCGTCTATGGTAACACATCTACTGTTGTCCTTGCTCAGCTCACATTTAGGCAGTCAGGTTGATGAGACTTTATGGATATCGCTTCTGACATTTCTAGGAGACACAGTCTCACAGCAAACTCCCTGGTCCTCTGGCTCTTCCAGTCTTTTTTCCTCTTCTGCAGTTATCACTGAGCCTTAGGTGCAGGGATTGACTTGTAGATGTATCAATTGGGGCTGAGCTCCACAGCTCTATATTTTGATTGAGTGTGGTTTTCTGTAATGATCTGGATCTGTTGCAAAGACAAGTTTCCTTGATGAAGGATGAGACATACATTTGTCTCTGAGTATAAGGGCAAATAGAGTGTAGTTATGGATTATGCTGTTTTAGTAAAGTGGTGGTTGTAGGTTCTCCTCTAAGGTCTATGTTTTTTTACTAATGCTGGGTAGTTGACTAGGTTCCTAGTACCAGGTATGATTTCCCTCTTATTGATCGTGTTTTTTTTTGAAATTGTACTTATTTTATTTGTGTGTGTGTAAAACCTGCTTGGTCCATATAATGTTACTTGTATGTATATGCTTTCGAGGGTAACCATTTGGTGTAATGTGGTTTTCATTTTCAAAAGTGAATGCTAGTGGATCTTGGAGTGATGGCATATTCCTTTAATCTCAGCACTTGGGAGGCAGAGGCAGGTAGTTCTGTGTGAGTTTGAGGCCAGCCTGGTCTTCATGGTAAGTTCCAGGATTGCATGGTGAGACCATGTCTCAAAAAAAAGTAAATGCTAGTGATACAGTTTGGCAGTGACTGTTTTGCATCCTGAGTATTAAACTGTATGTATATACAACCATTTTTGTTCTTTTGAGACAGGGACTCCCTGTATTTCATGCATATGTCATTAAAAAGGCTTCAGCAGGAAGCAAATACTAAGTCCTTTAAATTTCCAAAGGTCTCTGAACATTTCAGTATCCCAGTAAGGCTTAAGCAGTTAGCTGTGTCTTCCAGATGAACCTTCACCGGGCAAGCTGTTTTACAACTCGCTAGTTACCTACATGTCCATAATTTCAGGTTTACATTGGTTAGAATTTTCTCAGGCCACCTGACTGGAGACTAGTTTTAGAACTAGCTTCCAGACATGATCCAGAGAAATCTGTAGGTGGAGTTGTTGGTGTACTGGAAAATAAATACTCTGTGCCTGACTCATGGTTAGCAGGTCACTACTTAAGATGGAGTATCAGACAACCGAGATATAGAAGAATTTGTTTTGTTGTTGTTGTTGCCAAATAATTGTTTTATTTATTTTTTCTTTTAAAAGTATTTCATTGAAAATCCAGGAAGCCTACCTGCAGACCTTCTCCACTTTCTCTGCTTCCCTAGACCAGTTCTCAGCCTTCCTAATGCTGTGACCCTTTAATACAGTGCCTCATGTTGTCGTGACGGCCCAGCTAAAAAATTGTTTCATTGCTACTCCTTAACTGTAATTTTGCTACTGTTATGAATCATAATGTAAATATCTGTATTTTGTGGTGATTTGAGGTGACACCCGTGAAAGGGTTGGTCTACTCTCAGAGGGGTCACAACCCACAGGTTGAGAACCACTGCCCTAGATCCAGTCTCTCAGGCTATTCCCTAGTGCTACAACAGAACAACAGTTACAACCTCCCACACACACACACACAACACCACCCACAATTCCGGTGAATCCCATAGACCGTCCCCTCCAAGCCTCTCTCCCCCAATTCATTGCTGTATCCCCACCCCCAGCTCAGGCAGACTCCCCCTGTTCAGCCACAGGCTGGGCTACCCATAGACCTTCTCCACGCTCTATTCCTCTAGACCCAATCCCTCAGTCTCCTCCCTTGTGCTACAACAGATCACCAGCCTTCCTTACCCTTGCACATGTCACCTCCTGACCTCCCTCACCCCACTCGTTGCTGCATCCCAGCCTCCAGCACCAGCAGGCACTCCCTGCGAGCATACCAGCCAAGAAGTGTAGTGAAACAGGCAACACACAGCCATCACACTCTCTGAAAATACAGAGCGGAAACAGAAACCAAGGAACAAAACACCCACCCAATAAAAACGAACCCAAAAATCCTCACCTAGACCTATAATCGCCCCAAGCCCAGATGCGTGGAAGCCAGCCTAAGAACACAATCAATAACAACCGGGGCATGTTTCCACCAGAACCCAGCTACCCTATTGTAGCAGCCCCTGCATAACTGAAGCCCAAGAAAAAGACCTTCAGTACAAATATATGGATATGGTAGAAGTCCTTAAAGAGGAAATGAATAAATAAATTCCTTAAAGAAATCTAGAAAAAACACAAACAATAGGAGGAAATGAATGAACCCCTTAAAGAGAGACAGGAAAGCACAAACAATTGAAGGAAATGAACAAAACTGTTCAATACCTGAAAATGGAAAGAGAAGCAATAAAGAAAACACACATTGAGGGAATTCTGGAAATGAAAAATGTAGAAATTCAAAAAGGAGCTACAGAGGCAAGCTTCACTAACAGAATACAGGAGATGGAAGAATGAATCTGGGGCATTGAAGATACGACACAAGAAATGGATACATTGGTCAAAAAATGTTCAGTCCAAAAAGTCCATCTGGCAGGAGAGTCACTCATCTGCTCTTAGCTGATCATTTAACAGTTCATTGTTTATTTTGTTTTTATATCATTTTGTGTGTGTATACATGTGTGTACATGCCTGTGTGCAAACGTGTGTGTGTGTGTGTGCGCGTGTGTGTGTCTGAGTCTGTGCCATTGCCTGCATATGGAAGTCAGAGGACAACTTTCAGAAGAAAATTTTCTTCTTTCAATCTTCTGTGTCCCCAGTATTGAACTTAGTTCATCAGACTTGCCAACAAATGCCTTTACCCACTTACTGAGCCATTTCCCTTTTACTAGAGTTCATTCTTGTCCCTCTGGTCAGATTGTCAGTATCATCCTTAGGATTCCTGCTATTTGTGCCCTTCTCCTTATCATCTTTACTCTCTGTAACTGCTATTTATGTGAACTTCTGGACTCATCCAAAGGGTGCTGAAGTTGCTTAGTGTCTGCTGTTATCAATCTGCATTCTTACAGGTGAAGCTGTGGGTTAACTTAGACCAAAAAACCGTTAACAGTGTGTATTTGCAGATTATGACAAAATGAATTACTTATGTACCGTTATAATACAGAATATAAAACCTATCAACTACTCCACTGAAATATCACAAAACACTGTAGACTTTTGGCTTTGAGATCTGAGTTGTGAGTGAAAGTCTGCCTTGGTGGAGATTTTAGAAATACAGTGTTCTTCCATAAGTGTACTTGTTTTAGAAATACAGTGTTCTTCCATAAGTGTACTTGTTTTCTTGCATATAGTCTGCAGTCCTCAGTTCACAAACATGAATAACTGGAAAAAACAGATCCCTCTTTAAAAATTCCTTACTTATTTCTCGAGTGCTAAAAATTATCTGTGCCTTGTTTCTGAACATCATTCAGTCCCTCTGATCTAAATTTAGGAGCATTCCTTTGGCTTCCCTATGAAGCTACACACAGGACTTCTAGAACAGCTCATAGGAAAATAGTTGTGTGTGGTAGGGTTTTTCCTTGTTTTGTAGTTGGTATTGTTTAGTTTGACTGTTAGGGATTGAACTTAAGGACTTGTGAATGAAGGGCTCTATCAGTTAGCAACACCTCCAACTGTAACAGAGCCACAGACCTCAGAAGGCCCCCAAGACCTTAGCACAACTGACTCCATGATGGAAGTGTCATTCAGGCTGTAAAACTCAGCACATAGACAGCACCACTTGCCAGAACTAAAACAAAGGCCTAACCCATCAAAGTCCATAGTTCTGGCACAGTCTCTAACTGTACTAACTTTGCTTTTTAGCTTCTATAGTTCTGCTTCTGGCTAATTGTTATTGTTAACTGAAGTATGTCAACCCAGAACATTTTTTTCTGTTTAAAAGCTCACCCTGAGAAAGGCTTGGGATAAACTGGGATCTTGAAAACCCACTAGCTGACTGATAAAGATTTTCTATTGACTTAAACCTAGCTCCAAGCAGTCTTCTTGAGTGAATACTCCACAACACAACCACTAACAGAAATATTTTACATCTTGACCTCCATGTAGATTACAGGGGTACATGAATTTGTGTTAATTCATTGAGTTATGTGCTTCAGACATATGGATTTTCTTCTTTGGAAATTATACCACACATGAAATATGAAGGGTAAAGAAGGAAACTGTAAAATAGGAAGCCACATTTTCTGTAACGTCTATGCTCACTTATATCTCTGGTTTATTTTGAATATGTTCTTATGGTATGGGGTTCCTTGCCACCTTCACAGGCCTTTGGGAAGCAAGCAGGCAGTTCAGGTCAACGTGATCTCAGTATTAAGTGTTGGTTCAAACTTCTGGAGTCTGACTCTTAGTTTTAGACATATTTAAGCACAACATAATTTGGTGAACATTATTCTAGTGACAATTAACTCTATCACATGTGAAGAACAAAGCATACATAAATCTCCTTGAGGAACAAAGCAAGCTAAATACAGGTCAGATGTGACTATATCCATAAAGATAGATTCTACGAGTTGACTGAGAAAAACAAATTTATGATGAGAGTCTGAGGGGGGGTATATAGTGCTGGGAAAGTCACTACCCGCAAAACTGATAGAGCAAAGGTCACCAGGCTAATGAGTATTGCCTTTCCTAGACATCTGGGAAGATAATGTATTACATTCCTTTCCTTGAAGTAACAACTCTGTGTGCTTAACATTCCAGGTTCCCCTAGGGCTTATCTTTGAGCACAAAGACCTTTGTACCTCTTATACTGTGGGAGTTTCTCACATACATATTTTGTATGTAGGAAGAACCAAAATAGTATGTATATACAACATTTAACATAACCAGGTCACAGCCACATTGAAAGTAAAATACAGAAAGGAGAAGAAATAGACTTACGTTTGCAGCAACAAAACCAAAAATCCCTACAACAGGTTAGGAACTGTAAACCATCATTATCTAACCATGGTTCCGTGTCTCAAAGAATTCAGGGTGGCCAGGTTACCCTAATTTTTGCACTTTTATAGCAGGGCATCTTTCTATCCACTGTGGGTTTTTTCTTTTTAAACATTAATCATTGTGCATGGGCATGCGCATGCCACAGATTGCATATGGAGGTCGAAGACAAATTCTTAAAGTTGATTCTCTTTCCACTTTTATGTAGAGTCTGGGGATCCACTCAGGTCATCAAGCTTTGAGAAACACATGCACATGCTGAAAAATCTTAACAACCAAGTATGGGAGCCAAAATTACATTTTAAGTTTCAATTACTATGCTTAAGAGATCCACCCATGAAACAAAAATGTCTGATCTGTAAGCCTCTTGCTCAACAACAGATAGTTCCTGAGATTCTGGAGGCTGTTGTTTATGGCAGATAACAAGCCGCATGTTTTTGACTACCCTTAAAAATTTTATTTGATCAATCTGCACTGGATGTGCTTGCTCACATTGTGGGCAGGAGCCTCACAGGCAGGAAATACGTTAGAATGTATGCTTACCCCTGACTGGGTTTAAGATGGAGGTACATCAGGAGGTATGCATGCCCTTGGTTGGACCTGCTGCAAACTTGAATTAGGCCCATCATTTGGAAACCCAGAAATGAACCTGGCCAGAGCCCATCCACCTAGCCAGTGTTTAATTAAAGCTTACTTCAAATTTGGCTTTAAATTGTGGTAGTGGTCTTACTCTCAATCAGTGAGATTAACACAGGGACATGGGGATTTCTTTTTAAACAGCTTCTTTGTTTTCTTTTTCACACACACCAAGACACACACATGAAGTCAGAGGACAACTCTGTAGAGTCTATTCAACTTTTCACCATGTGAGTTCCTGATTATCAAAATTTTAGGCAGGTGCTTTTATCCACTCAGTCATTTAATCTGCCCAGGGTATGTTTTTAAACATTCGTTATGGATTTCATAAATGATAGTAGCTATTTGATTTATGACTTTGAAAATAAATTTCATTTCTGCAAAGACTTATCAACGTGTTAAAGAGACACTGTACAGTACATTCTTGTATTTCGGAATGTGTTCATTGTTCCGAGTCTGCCAGTTAAGCCCTGGTATCCATGGAAACATGAGAATGTTTACAGTTATTATCTTTCTTATGGTTGGAAGTCACTAACATTTAGACTTAATAGAAAAGATAAAGAGGTAAGTATTTTATATCTTCCAGGTGGTTTTTATTAATCACATTCAGTTTCACAGGACATAGAATGCCAGAGAAGGCCATTGACTTGTGATTGAGTGTGTGTAAGTCCTGCTGAATATCATAACTGTCTGGAAGGCACATGTGTGACTACAGGAAATCAGGGAGCTGCACTGCCGTCTGTGTAGCTCCTTGAAGATGACTGTGTGAATTTGCCTCTCTGTGTTGTTTCCTTATCTACAGAATGGGTATAATGATTGGATGGGTATTTTTGGAGGGACAGGAATATCAAATGGGCTAATACTCCTCTAGTGTATAAATGACTCTCCAGATAATCCAAAGTTTGTGAGAGCCTATCAGCCAGCCTTGTTCTGAACTGAAATATCTGCTTAATAGTATTTCTTTTATTCAAGGTACTTCCCTCTTCATGTGATGACCTCTATGGTCAACATTTCCTGCTGCTTTGTAGTGCATTTATAATTCTGCCACCTTCCAAATGGATAACTTCACCCAGGAAACAATAAGGTAAAAATTTAAATGAAGTTGTATGGAGGCTTTCCAATTGGGTCTTTAAGAAATAAATACCTCCTCTTTTTGGATTTCAGATCCAAGCATAAAAGTCTGCCCAGCTATCTTATTTGTTTGGCACAACAGCATTTTCCACTGCTTTCGTTCTGTTTCAAAGCACATTGTTTGTGCAGTCCACTGCCTCAGACCTGCCTTGTCAAGGAAGAGGGGATGGACAGGGTTTTTCCCAAGCCACCATCTATTTAAAACCTATCTTGCTGATGAAACTGCCCTAGTAGAGCAGCTATACTGCCTCCACCCAGTTAGAAAGTACATTCCACAGAGACTGTGGAACAGTGGATAGCTGGTAGGGAAGGTTTCCTGGCAAGGAGATCCAGTTTGAGGGTCCCTCAAACCTTCTGCATGGACAATGGCAATGGCAATGTCATTATCTATGTGTCTAATGACTGGAGGACTTTGCCTTCCTTTTTAATAAATGAATCAGTGGGATCCCTCAGTGTGAATTTCTCATTTTCACTATTGCTACATCCAAAGATTTGAGTTTTCAATAGATCTAAATAAGATGCTTCATAGCGTTAATGTGAAGTGTAAGCTTTGTCTCAAAGAAGATATTTGTTCACCAAAAATACGTCAGTATACATTATATGTTGCACCTCATTGTCTCAAGGTGGAATATAGAGTAAGGACTAGCTACAAAATGGACATATCCATTGCTCTTCATCTTCTACATACAGATATTTTGTGGTAGTGGGGAGTGAGCTCAGTGCCTCACACATGTTAATTAATTACACCACCATCAAGCTATATCTCCTTCCAGTTACAAATAGTTGTATAAGGTTTGTGTTCACACTGTCTTTAATTATAAAATGTCATGCATAGGTTTCGTTAGAAATGTGCACATTCTAGGAAACTGTGAAAATAGGAATGACAGTTTCTATTCCAACAATTGATTTGCTTAGATTTTCTATTTTGGTAATGGTTTCATTTAAATTAGAAACATGAATGCTTCACATGTCAATCCAAGCTCCCTCTCCCACCCCTCCTCCTCTGTCCCTACACGAGCCTCCCAGCCCCCCACCCAATCCCCACATCATTCCCCATGGAGGGTGAGGCCCTCCTTGGGGGGATCTCCAAAGTCTCCAAAGTCTGCCATTTCATCCAGGGCAGGACCTAGGCTTTTCCCCATGTGTCCAGGCTGAGAGAGCATCCCTCTATTTGGAATGGGCTCCCAAAGATCATCCATAAACCATGGTAAACACTGATCTACTACCCAAGGCCCCAGTGATTTCTGTGGCTTCCTCACTACACTACATTCGTGGAGTCAGGCATCAGTCTGGGATTCAAGTGCTCCCCATTATCCGGTCAGATGTCTTTGTGGGTTTCACCATCATGGTCTTGACCCCTTTGCTCATAACTCCTCCATCTCTGTCACTGGGTTCCAGGAGTTCAGTTCAGTGTTTAGCTGTGGGTATCTGTCTCTGCTTCCATCAGTCACTGGATGAAGGTTCTAGGATGGCATATAAGGTAGTCATCAGCCTTACCATCAAGGAGGGGCATTTAATGTAGTCTCTCCACTATTGCTTAGTTTGCCAGTTGGTGTTATCCTTGTAGATCTCTGGAGAACTCACTAGTGCCATCTCTCTCCTCAAGCCTATAATGACTCAATCTATTATGGTATCTCTCAGCCTGCTCTCTTCTATTCTTAACTCGACTCAACCTTTCTGATCTCCTTCCAGTTACAAATAGTTGTATAAGGTTTGTGTTCACACTGTCTTTAATTATAAACTTCTTCTCCTCTCCTCTTATCGCCCTTTCTTTTTCCTGGCTCGCTCTCCCCTACCATGATGTTCCCAATCTGCTCAGGAGATCTTGCCTCATTCCACTTCTCTGGGGTATCATGCATCTCTCTTGGAAACCTCCTTGTTTCCCAGACTCAATGGCACTGGGATTGTAGCCTGAGACTCCTCTGATCCATATATAAAATCCATATATGAGTACATACTATGTTTGTCTTTTTTTGTGTCTGGGTTACCTCACTCAGGATGGTTTCCTCTAGTGCCTTCCATTTGCCTGCAAATTTCAAGATTCCATTGTTTTTTTCCCGCTGAGTAGTACTCCATTGTGTAAATGTACCACATTTTCTCTATCCACTCTTCAGTTGTGGGGCATCTAGGTTGCTTCCATGATCTAGCTATTACATATAATGTTGCTATGAACATAGTGGAACATACATACTTGTTGTGTGAATGGGTGTCTTTTGGGTATATGCCTAAGAGTGGAATTGCTGGGTCTTGTGGTAGAATGAGTCCCATTTTCCTGAGGAATCTCCATACTGATTTCCATAGTGGCTGTTTGAGTTGGCACTCCCACCAGCAGTGAAGGTGTGTTCCCCTTTTTCCACATCCTCTCCAGCACAAACTGTCATTGGTCTTTTTGACTTTAGCCATTTTGACAGGAGTAAGATGATATCTCAGAGTTGCTTTGATTTGCATTTCCCTAATGGCTAAGGATGTTGGACACTTTCTCAAGTGTCTCTCTGCCATTTTATAGTTTTCCATTGAGAATTCTCTATTTAGTTCAGTCCCCCACTTTTTAATTGGATCCTTTAGTGTTTTGGAGACTTGCTTCTTGAGTTCTTTGGAGATCAGTCCTCTGTCAGATGTGGGGTTAGTGAATATCTTATCCCAATGTGTGGGTTGCCTTTTTGTCTTGCAGACTGTGTCCTTTGTCTTACAGGTGTTCATAGGTTTGTGGATTAATCTCAGGGCTTTCTATTCAATTCCATTGGTCTTGCTGTCTATTTTTGTGCCAATACCAAGCTGTTTTCAGGACTATAGCTCTATGATAGAGCTTGAAGTCAGGGATGGTGATGCCTCCTGACATTGCTTTGTTGAGCAGGGTTGTCATGGCAGTTCTGGGCTTTTTTCCATATAAAGTTGAGAATTGTTCTTTCAAGGTCTGTGAAGAATTGTGCTGGGATTTTGATGGGGATTGCATTGAGTTTGTATATTGCTTTTGGTAGGATTGCCATTTTTACTACATTGATCCTACCTATCCAAAAGCATGGGAGATCTTTCCATTTCCTGGTGTCTTCTTTAATTTCTTTCTTTAAAGACTCAAAGTTCTTTTGATACAGGTCTTTCACTTGTTTGGTTAGCGTAACGCAGGTATTTCATATTGTTTGTGGCAATTGTAAAGAGTAATGTTTCTCGGATTTCTTTCTCAGCCATTTTATCATCTGTATATAGTAGGGCTACTGATTTTCTTGAGTTGATCTTGCATCCTGCCACTTTGCTGAAGGTGTTTATCAGCTCTAGGAGTTTTTTGGGTCACTTATGCAAACTATCATATCATCTGCAAATAGTGAAAGTTTTACTTCTTCCTTTCCAATTTGTACCCCTTTGATCTCCTTTGTTGTTTTATTGCCCTAGCTAGATCTTCCAGTACAATATTTAAGAGGTATGGGGAGAGAGGACAGCATTAACTTGTTCCTGATCTTAGAAGAATTGCCTTGAGTTTCTCTCATTTCAGTTTGATGTTGGCTATTGGTTTGCTGTATATAGCTTTTATGATGTTTAAGTATGTTCCTGTTATCCTGGATCTCTGCAAGATCTTTATCATGAAGGGGTGTTGGATATTATCAAAGGCTTTTTCAGCATCTAGTGAGATGATCATGTGATTTTTGTTACTCAGTTTATTTATATGGTGGATTATATTGATGGATTTTCATATGTTGAAACATCCCTGCATCCCTGGAATGAAGTCTACTTTATCATGGTGGATGAGTTTTCTGATGTGTTCTTGGATCCGATTTGCCAGTATTATATTGAGTATTTTTGCATCACTGTTCTTGAGGAATATTGGTCTGAAGTTCTCTTTCTTAGTTGTGTCTTTGTGTGGCTTGGATATCAATCTTATTAAAGCCTCATAAAAAGAGTTTGGCAAAGACCCTTCTGCTTCTATTGCATGGAATACTTAGAGGAGAATTGGTATATGCTGTTCTTTGAATTTCTGGTAAAATTCTGCACTGAACCCATCTGGGCCTGGGATTTTTTTGGTTGGGAGACTTTTGATGACTACTTCTATTTCCTTAGGTGTTATACGACTATTTACATTGCTTATCTGTTCTTGATTTAATTTTGGTAAATGATATTTTTGCAGAAAATTGTTCATTTCCTATAAATTTTCAAATTTTGTGGAGTACAGCTTTTCAAAATATGACCTGATGATTCTCTGGATTTCCTCACTGTGGGTTATTATGTCTCCCTTTTAATTTCTGATTTTGTTAATTTGCATGTTCATATTCTGCTGTTTGGTAAGTTTTGATAAAGGTTTGTCTATCTTGTTGATTTTCTCAAATGACAAACTCTTTGTTACTTTGATTCTTTGTATGGTTTTCCTAGTTTCTACTTTATTGATTTTAGCCCTCAATTTAATTATTTCTGGGCATCTGCTCCTCTGGGGTGAGTGTGCTTCCTTTTGTTCTAGAGGTTTCAGTTGTGCTCTTTTTTTATTTTATTTTCCAGTTTAAATTTAGATAAGAAACAAGGTTGCTTCACAAGTCAGTTCCAGGTCCCTCTCCCATTCCCTCCCCTCTTCCCGTGCCCTCCCCCCAACCCCCCCCCGTTATCCCCTTATTCCCCCAGGGAGGGTGAGGCCCTCCATGGGGGTGTCCATAGTCTGTCATTTCATATAGGGCAGGGCCTAGACCCTTCCCCAAGAGTTCAGGGTGAGAGTGCACCTCACATTGTTCTATGGGAGTCCAAAGTCCGTGTGTATACTTGGTATGGGTACTGATCTGCTGCCCAAGGCTCAATAGATTCCCTAGGCCTCCTCACTGACACCCAGATTCAGGGGGTCTTGATCAGTCCCATGCTGGATTCCCAGGCTGATGCCTGAGACTCAAGAGTTAACCTTTGTCTGGTCAGCTGTTTCTGGGGGTTAAACCAGCCCAGTCTTAATCCCTTTGATCATTAGTCCTCCCTCTCTGTTACTGG